AACATAGTTTTTATCCTAATTATTTTTCTGTCTCAAGTCCATCAATTACAAACATTAAAAGTCAGCAACAAAAAAACATATCCCTCATTGAATAACAGGCTCATTATTTTCTGCCCTCAAACCTTTCAGTGGTGCTCCACAGTGCTAAGCAGTATGCACCCATTACAGAGTAATTATACAGTGTTGAGAATATATCTTCATTATTACTATTTATTGTATATATTTATTTTTATTATTTTTGTTTATTCATTATAATTATTAGGAGATATTCAATTGTATTCTATTCTGTAAATATTAGGATTAGACTGTTATTTATATACATGTAATTGTTATGTAATATCTTAGAATAGAATTTATCTTAGAACAAAATTCTCAAGTTGGTATTAAAGACTCTGATCTTAGGATCACCACTTCGGCACAACAAACCCTAGTCACATTCATCGCAACACTCAACCCCTAGAAGCCCTCTTCATTATAGAAAATATCTCTGAACCCACAACAACTTCATTGTGTTTATATTTCTATCAGTCTCGGTTTTTTCTTTCGTCATAAAGCCACACAACGTCACTGTACTACTGCCAAACCACTGACCACCTCTCGCAACCAGACCATTTGAAGTGTGCCGCCTAGAGCAGCCAATCCCTAGAGTTTCATCCTTGACGGAGCTTCAATGCACCACCATACAGCAAGGCTCCTCTCTAGAATGTGAAAGCCACGTGCTGCCATCTCCCATTTGCCTTGCAGCCAACACTGATTTGTTCATTGCGCCATCCTCTATTGATTATGACCTTTTGTTGCCCCATTTGTCACTGTTGAGGATGTCCTTTCTTCAAACCCTATGTGTTCTCTCTTGAAACATACCATTTTTTTTGCTATGACTGAACAGAAGAACCCTACTACTTATAGCCCACTACATCCTTTGGGCTCAATGACCTTCCCATATTGCAGGGATCATGTCTGTATCACTTAAAGGAACTTAAATTAGCAATATGGCAATGGCCCCAAAACCACATTGAAGGAGAGGCTACCAAGTAAGGATGACCCAAAGTTTGAGGCTTAGTATGATGGAGATTCTCTTATCTTGACCTAGTTATGGCATTCTCTGACTGCGAAAATTAGTGGGAATTGCATGTTCTTTCCTACTACCAATGAAATCTGGGATTACCTAAACCAGACTTATTTCAAGAAGCAAGATGTTGTTCCCTACTATGAATTGGAGAACTAAATTTTTAACGTCAAACAAGGGTCTCTCTCTGTGACAGATTATTAAGGGATCCTAAATGGACAATAGATTGAATTGGACCATAACCAAAGCCTGAAGATGAAAAGTATCGAGGATTCTACTATACTCAACAATTTAATTGAAAAGGGAAGGATTTTTAAATTTCTTTCCGGTAAAATCCCATTTGGGTCCATTTCTTGGCAAGGAGAATCTCCTTTCTTTGTCAGAAGTTGTGCATACTGTTTGGGTGAGAAGAATTGTGGGAATGTAATGTTGAAGGAAGAACATTGATGATTCAACACTAGCATCTTCATGAAAGTCACACAAGGTTGGATCATTAAGAAAATTCACTGGGAAACCTAACTTAAATGACCGTTGGTGTACTCATTGTAGGAAGAATGGTCATATGAAGGAAATCTGCTTCAAGTTGCAGGTAAGGACAATGTCTTTAAATGCATTGGAGGATTCAAAGGGTTCCAGCAGTGACATGAAAACCAAACAGCTCCATACACAAAGGTTGTTTAACTTGAGGAAGAAGAGATTCCTACTCTTAGTAAAACAAAATTAGAATGCATGTTTCTCTTCTTTTATTGGGCACTTGCTCTCTTGTCATAACAGGTAAGAATTCTAGTTTCTCTTCTTTTAATACTTCATGTTCTGTGTCTAGGGATATTTGGATAATCAACTCTAGTACTTCTAAACACATAACCTTCGTCCTTTTCTCTTTTACTTCACATTCCACCTTATCTGGTATGCATCACATTGATTCACAAATTTTCATTCTTAGATGCGGTATTATTTAATTTACCAATTCTCTTATATTAAAAAATGTTCTTCATGTTGCTAAGCTTTCTAATAATCTTATTTTCATCTCATTGTATATTTCAAATCTTGCCTCCGTAAGAATGATTGCATGATTGGAGTTGCTAAGGAACAAAGTAGTTTATGTTACTTTCTGCTTATGTGAAATGAAATTCAAGTCTATGTTAGAAGGGGAATCAATTTCTGTAATCAGTATTTTTCTGAGTATGCTTCCTCTTAAATTTGACTTCAACATAGGCGTTTAGGATATTCACCTTTTAGTTTGCTTAAGAATATATTTCCTTCTTTATTTTCAAAAAAGCTTGTTGAGTTTTTCATTGTGGTGTTTGTCAATTTGTTAAACGTTGCTGTATTACTTTTTCAAATAGTTTTATAAAAGTAATTTTTCTTTTGGAGCTAAATGATTTGTATCTTTTATTGATAATAACACACATGTTACTTAGATTTATTTGATGAAAGATAAAATAGAAGTGCCTAAGTTGTTTATTTTTATCAGTTAGTTCAAATGCAATTTGAACAAGCAATTAAACACTTATCGGATGGATAGTGGACAAGAACATGTAAACAAATATTCTCTCTATTTCGACAAGAGAAAGAAGTCGTTCCTAAGTTGACATGTGTAGATACTCCTCAATAAAATGAAGTTGTAGAAAGAAAAATTGACATCTGATAGAAATTCTTCGAGAATTACTGGTTCAGATGATACTGCCAAAATCCTAATGGGGAGAAGTCTTGATGGTTGTTTTTTTAATTAACAAGTTGCCCAATCATATTTGAATTGCTCTAGTCGTATCCAATCAAGGTCTATCTCTCATCCTTCTGTTCCTATTATGAACAACCTTTAGTTTCGTCTCTTTAATTGTATTGTCTTTGTTCACATGTACATCCAACATCGTGAAAAGTTGGATCCTTAAGTTGTTAAGTGTATTTTCATAGGATATATACTTCAAACAAAAAAGATTATAATATTATCACCCTTCAATTCATCGGGTCTATGTCTATGTGGATGTCACTTTTAATAAAACAAAGATATTTTACTCTCATCCTCAAACAAATATATTCACTAAGGGATTGACAGTTAAGCGGTTTCAAGATTTTTCCTGTAATCCAAAATGAGAAATATCCATTCACCAGATTGAAGGAAAGTGTTGAAAATATATCCTCATCATTACTATTTATTGTATAGATTTATTTTTATAATTTCCGTTTATTCATTGTAATTATTAGGAGATATTCTATTATGTAAATATTAGGATTAAACTCCTATATATACATGTAACAATTATGTGATATCTTAAAAAAGAATTTATCTCAGAACAAAATTCTTAAGTTATAGGTTATAAAGCAAATATAGTCAGCATAGTTATAATGCTACTGTAATCAGCAAAGGCATATCATCTGTAACTGGTGACAAATTTTGGTTGCATGCATACACAATACGGTTGTACAAAGCCAAACAAGATTAATATCAAAAGTGCAATCTTTGAAATTGTATTTTTATTTTCTTATAAAAGTCATAATCAGGTGAAAGTTCTCTTGAACACAGCAGACAATTTATAATATAGTATCCATTTTATCAATTCATCAACATATTACCAATTTATCAAAGAAAATATAAGAACTGGCATCTAAACGTTAATCCTCAATCACAAATATACAATATATAGACAATGGCTGGAACAATAAATTTAAGCATCTATGGTTCAACTCCTAAAAAAATTCTGATAGAGTTATTATGAATGTACATGAGAACCTAAAGTGCTGCTTTTTTAATCATGGACATACCATAGAGAAAGGTATCTTGAAAACTCGTTCCTGATACACAAAATTCATATCTCTTGCAAAAAACAAATGAGGGAAAAGGAAACTTCTTTCCCAGTACTCGAGGAAAACTAATCTTAAGGACAATTTCAGATAAAGGTAAACAAATGAGAGGGAAAAAAAGAAAAAGAAAAAGAAAAAACACAAACCTCAAGGTTTCCTTATTCCTAGTTATGACTCCATGTACAGTTCTTCTGTCCGTTACATCTAGGATTTTGCAAATAGATGTTAGCCTATCCCTGTGTCCACATATCAGTGGATATTGATAATCTCAAGTTCCCTTCCATATCCATTTACTCATGAAGTTACTTTACAGTGTTATAAAGATAACAGGTGCTTAGGATTCAGAAGATTCTGTTGTTCCTCTACAAGAAATAAATCCATTTCATCTACAGGACTTGCAAGCATCATACATCATGTTTGATTTCAATAATGCACAATGAGCTTTGCCTTCCTATGAACAGGAATTTCCATATAGGAAAACATTGGCATATTCAATAATGATTTGATTATGATTACATTTTCCCTTTTGTTTTGAATTATATCAAGGCGAATGTTTGACCTAGAGAACGGTCAGGATGTGGGAATGAAATTCCACCAGCCACTTGTTGCACAGTTATAACATGCAAACATCTACTCACCAGCCACTTTCTCACTTCTTAATATTGGATTTAGCTCTTCTAAATTGAGGAGATGAGTAAAGTGAGAAAGTGAACGTATATCTACTGTTGATTTGAACTTAACCATTTATTACATATAACTAACTTTTAAATCAAAGGTAAATTAAGGGTGATTTTCTCACTTTACACGTCTCCTCGCTTTACAGGAGCTAAATCCCTTTTTATTTAAGGGTCACTCATTTTATATACAAAATCAATAATCTTTCTCCCAACATTTGCAAAATGGCTATCATAATTGGAACAAATAATAGCAAATTAAATCTGTGTAGCATGCAACACCAATATTGCTGCACCAACTTACAGTGAAAACTTGAAGACAGAAGAAAGCAGTGTCTCATTTATCTTTTCACAAACCAAAACAAAGGGCAAACCCAACATAGCAGACATAATACATAAAAACCAAAAGCATAGCATAGATTTTGATTATAAATCTTCAAAAGGGAGTAAGTGGTTACAGGGACTTGAAGACCGATTTCTTTGATACTATCCATGAGTTGTTGAACTTTATTTGGATCATTTGCTCTGGTCCTCATCAGAGGCCTTCTTATCTTATCAAGAGGAAGCTCCAATATCACAGGTCCCCCACCACCACCACTACTGCTTCCAGAACCACCAGGAGGAGCTCCTAAGTATTAAAAATAAATCATTTCAAGTTTAAGAAAAAGAGAGAGAAAAAAAAATGAAACTTTTAACCAACAGAAAGAAAGGGAGGAAGTAGTGCACCGTTGGAGTTTGATGAAGCAGACACAGTGAAGCTCCTTAGCGTACATGGAACCTGCAGGACAAAATTTGCCATTTTTCTTCTTCTTTGCACCAAGTTTTTATCTTTTTGCTCATTCCATATATAGTCAAAATATTGAGAACCAGAGACTGGCATGGCCCACCAATTTCAACGGTCAAGATTGTTCTTTCATGATCTATTTGGAAGGCCCATCTAGACAGAATTCGCTCTCCAAAATTGTGCAAGATTTTCCATTGATTTCATATTTCTAAATTTACATTCGCCCCCCAAAAATGGCGGCGACTGTTCCTTTCTCTCTTCTTAGTTACACTTCTCACTCTCCATTTGTGTGTTTATGCGTGTGAAATATTGAGTTGGGTTTCGGATGATCGGCCGGAACTACTCGCCATTGGTGTCGGCAAGAGTATTGGTTCAAAACTGGATAACCTCAATTTCTCCAACCCTGTTCTTCCTCTTCAACGTCGCAGGTGTGTGTATGTGTGCGTTTTCTCCTTCCTTTTCTTTTTTTAAATTTTAATTTCTCTTTTGGAGAAATAGGAAATTTTCTCAGATTATCGGTAAAACTTTTAGCATAAGATGTCAATTGTGGCTTATTATATGTTTTTTAAATGGTTCCTATTGTTATATTTGTATAAAATCATTATATTATATTTAAATATTTGTATAACATTTTTTATTATAATCTTTATATATAACACATTTTCATTTTACCCATTATGGGAAAAAAAAATCAAACTACAGAATCAAAGTAAAAAGAATGTTTTATGTACAAAAACTAAAATAAAATAAAGTATTAATTAGGCTTTTTTATTTAAATATTGTAAAATAAAAAACAATTTATTAAAATAGTGTATTTTTAAAACAAATTCCGTATTTAGGGTCGGATCGCACAATATCGCCAAAATGGCTGGCGAAACTTATTATTTTAATATTATAAAACAAGTTTTACTAAACGAAGGGCGAAAGTTGAAGGTAATTTCGCCATTCACCCAGCGAAATATGAAAAACTAGACACATTAGAGAGCGGTTCAAACTGAACCGCTCTCTAATGTCAATCTTGGAGAGCGGTTCGACAGAAGTTCTCATAAGAGAGCGGTTCAGGGAGAACCGCTCTCAGAAGTCAATATTGGAGAGCGGTTCAAAAAGAACCGCTCTCAGAAGCTCTCATAAGAGAGCGGTTCAAGAATAACCGCTCTCAGAAGTTGTAATTTATGCAATTTTCCCTGCGAAAACGTTTTTAACGCAGATCTTTTGGCGAAACCTGGTATTATTTATTTCCACCCCTGCCCCTCTCATCCGAGGCTCATTTTGCAATCGAAAAACAGGAACGAGAAAGGAGAAAGGAGAAAGGAGAAAGGAGGAAGGAGGAAGGAGGAAGGAGAAACAAGAACCGCTCTAAGAGGACTTCTGAGAGCGGTTCTTGTGAAACCGCTCTCTTAAAAGCACTTCTGAGAGCGGTTCAAAATGAACCGCTCTCTAAGTATACTTCTGAGAGCGGTTCCAAAAGAACCGCTCTCTTTAATAGACTTATGAGAGCGGTTCTAAAAGAATCGCTCTCTTTCATGGACATCTGAGAGCGGTTCCTTTGGAACAGCTCTCTTTGATGGACTTCTGAGAGCGGTTTCTTATGAACCGCTCTCTAATGCTCCTACGTTCTTCTACTTTCGCCCTTCGTTTGGCGAAACTTGTTTTATAATATTAAAATAATAAGTTTTGCCAGCCGTTTTGGCGATACGTGTGCTGCCCGACTCCAGACAGGGAAATTGTTTTAAAAATACACTATTTTAATAAATTGTTTTTTATTTTGCAATATTTAAATAAAAAAGCCTTAAGAAAGACTAAAATAAAAGCCGTAAAGCTAAGTAAAAAGAAATTCCAAAAATTCATAATATGTTATAAAAGATAATTTATTAATTCAAATAATATAATTATAAATTAATATAATTAAAAATTATTATCAAAACAACATACGGTAATCGGTAAACTATTTTTTAAGTAAAATTTTAAATTTAAATTTTTGTATATGTAAAAAATTTATAATAATAAATTCACTCATCAAATATAAATATGCGATTAAGGTCAGATCTAAATTAAATTATATAAAAAATTATTATAAGAAATCGATTTTATTATTTAATACTAATTTATATTATGTTAATTATTAAAATAAACTTTTGATTTTAATTAAAGTTCAAAGACTATATTTAAATTTTGTTCATAAAATAAGTAATTTATTGTAATTATACTTAAAAATTTAATTTTAAATTAATTTATAAAATAAAAGAATAAAATTAGAAAGAATAACATCGTTACTTTTTTAAATAGAAAAAAAAAAGACTTTAATATTTAAAATCAATTCACATATTTTTTTTTATAAATTTTTTAATGAATAAAAACAAAATATGTTGTATCTAAATATCAAATACCATCTTCTCATAATAATTTTTTTAACTACATTAAACTATAACGATGTTGTTTAAAACTATTAAATCATTTTGTTATAGTCTATTTTTAATATTAGTAAATTTTCTTTTACTTTAATATACATTTTTTTATCACCTTTATAAAATACTTTTTTTTATTCTTATGATTGAATTTTTTTCGTTTAAGAATTAAAATAAAAAAATTGCATTATGTTTTAGATTATAATATATATATTATATAAAGATTTTTGGGGCAGTGCAAGGAACTATATGCATTAAAAAAATTGGTTGCTACAGGAATTATTAAGATTCTAACAGAGAGGTTGTCACCTTAAGATAAGGTCTAAACACAATTCCAGCATGGGAGAACGAAAATGACCACGTGAAATAACGTTGTTTGGATATATCAGTAAAAATTAATACTATTATAATAAAAATTAGATTAAAGTTATCGACATTTACAAAATTAAAAACTAAATATTAAGAGTATGTTTGTTTTCTATTTTAAAAAAAATAATTTTTTTAAATATAGTATAAATTTATATTATATTTAAAAAAATTAAAAAATCTTTTTAAAAGAGAAATTAAATATATCTTAAAAGTCTTAGAATTCAATTTATTTAACATACAATTTTAAAGATTAATTTAAAAGTTTATACAAAATTTGCGTTAAGCTCTATAAATTAAGAGTGAGACCTGCATAATTTTATAACTCTAACTAAATTTTTTTTAATAATAAAAAATGTGTTAGAAAGAATGTATAATAAAATAAATTACTAAAATTCGTCTAGATATTAGCTTATTGTACCTAATTAATGTTAATATGTTTGTTATGAAATTAATATAAGATTATAATGAATAAATAGAAAAAAATAGAAAAAATACTATTAGAAAGAAAGATAAATTTTTAAATTTATTTCACATATTTTTAATATAAATAAGATGTATTATTTATAAGTTTAAATTTAATATTCAAAAGTCTCGTATCTATAAATTAAATAAATAATTACAAGTTATTTTTAAGTCTTAAAGAATATGATAACTTTTCTTTAAAATGTAATTTATAAAAGTGTCTCTTAGCGTTTATTTATAATGACTATCCTTTAGTCTCTCGCTAAAAAAAGATATGCTTTGTACTTGCTGTTTTTAACATGATGCAACCAAAACAACTGTTGTTAATGGTGATGGTGGATACGGATCCAGTGCAGTTGACGCGGGAATTGCACGTGCAGTTCTTCATTTGCTTAAGCCAATTTGAGAAGGCTTAAGCGAATTTTACAATTTTCACTTAAGCCCATATAAGCTAGCTTAAGCGAATGAAGGCTTAAGCCATTACTACAAGCATAGAGCGAGACATTGAATTAAAGCGAGTGCGTGATGTGCTTAAGCTAAAATATATGGGCTTAAGCGAAAAAATAACAGAGAGCCTACCTCTTAGGATTACAAACTGGCTTAAGCGTGCTTGATTTAACTTAAGCTAATGAGTTGTGGGCTTAAGCACATATTTATAAGGCTTAAGCGTATATTTATAAGGCTTCAGCGAGTAAGCTAATGATTTAACTTAAACCTTAATGGCTTAAGCCTAAAAAAACAGAGAGCACACCTCCCAAGATTACACATTTGCTTAAGCGGATGAACTAATAGCTTAAGCGGATATGCTTTAGCTTAAGTGAAAATTGCATAAACATAATGTAGAGAGAATGCTCTTTTGGACTGATAAACTAGCTTAAGCTATTACAGATTGGCTTAAATGAACCAATACCAGCTTAAGCGAGTACTATGTAGCTTAAGCAAAAATTGTGAGCTTAAGCAATTATTGGGGGGCTTAAGCGAATATGCAGGAAAATTGAAAAACAGCAGCTTAAATTGACAGACATGGATATACTATTTCTGAAAACAAAATACATTTGTCCTTTACATAATTGTTTTTGACAAAAGGAAATAAAATAATTAAGATACAACAACTTTTAATTATTAATCAAGGATTGAACAAGTTGTGTCATCCAAAGGGTCCTGAAAAAAAAAACATAAATCCATCAAACAAAATTATACAACGATGAACTAAAGCACTAAATTTTCATTTTGAAATTTAATGAACGTACAGTCAATAATGTAGTGAAATTAAATTGGTTGTTCAAAGTTTGAGGAGGATGATAAGATGGACGTGCTGAACAATGTATATCACAAGGTTCAGAAGGAGGACTGGGTTGATATTCCTAAAATATTTATCAAATAAACACCATATGGTTAATAAGGAATCAAAATTGAAATTAATGCATTGGCAAATTGATTGATATATGTACCTCAGCATGTTGGTTTTGTAATTGACCTCTCGTTATCCTATTTTTTTTCCTTTTTCCTTATAGTTCAACCTAACTTTTGAATCATTTATATGTATTCCTCTTTAAGCTTGGTCAGTGCTTGAAACCTTTTGGGATTGTACCATCATTGATCATCAACTTATATGCATGATTGTTAGTGTGACTGTCAACATGTTGTGTTTGTAATTGAAGGTGTGAGATTTGACGACACACAGCATTTAAACATTCATCCACTAATGTCGAGTATTCCTCTGAACTAGATACCTCTGATGCAAGTCTAATCATTTTAGAAGCAAGTTGTCTGTATCGTTGCGTGGTAGCA